TATATATATATTACTATTATTAAATTGTGTTATGCAAATAAATATCCGTATTTTTTGTAAGTAAATAATAGGTGTATGAACTTATATTTTATGTTTCATTATATTTACATAAAATTTTATACTAACTTAAACTCTAAATCCACAAGGGCAAACATTAGCTCAAAGTTCAAGTGTTTAGTCGTATTCTCATATAATAATTAAATTCTTTGCACATTACAAATAAACGTTTTTTATCTTCATTTTCATAACTTACATATACAAGTTCCATTCATACACTAGTATGGATCTTTAGAAGAAAAAAAAACATGATATATGCTCACTACAGTTTAATGTATAATATTCTGTAATTAAACAGTATCATTCCAAATCGAAAGAGCTACACCACTACTACTTACATGACGATTTTCAGTGTTTGGTAAAAACTTAGCATTGAAAATATTGGCAGTGTGATTGGTTTTTGTTGATACTACCAACTAGAAGGAAAAGAAATTACAATTAAAGTAATATATTTAATTTCTTATGACATTAATCAAAACTAAAAATTCAAAAAACATATTCAAAAACATAACAGATACAACTCATGACACTCTAACTATGGATGGAACAGTATTTTACAATTATATCCAACTTTTTAAAAGTTAATAATCAACAGAACATCAGTTCAGTGAACACAACTACAAACAATTCTAAAGGATGATCAACATGTCTTCCATTTACTTTTTAAACCAAAACAAAGACCAAAATTTCAACCATTTACCAAAATTCAAATGCTATTTAATAGATCTCCATGGGTTGTTCAAGCTTACAAGAAACATGGTCATAAAGCATAGAGAAGGTGTTGCCTCCAAGTTGGAGAGGAATGTCAACATGGATTGATTTGAGTTCCAAAAGACATGGTTATGAAACCCAGATAAACTGCTACCTCTAAGTTGGAGGGAGATGTTAACAATACTATTCAACAGATCTCCATGGATTGTTCTGAGCTTACAAGAAATATGGTTATGAAACATAGAAAAGGTGTTGCCTCCAAGTTGGAGAGGGATGTCAACATGGATTGATCGGAGCTTCCAAAAGACATGGTTATGAATCCTAAATAAACTGCTGCCTCCAAGTTGAAGTGGGATGTCTACATAAATAGATATGAACTTTAAAGAGACATGGTAGTTGGAGTAGGAGTCACTTATGGCATGCCACCAATTCATTCATACACACTGCTGAAAGCTAATGTCATTACTCACATATAGATGTGAAAAACAACAATAAAAAAACAGTCTGTTGCAAACTAATTATAATCAGCTGTAGGTAGTGTTCACTAAATAAACCAATAAATTCCATGCTCACTAACACAGGAAGGTTAATATAGGTATTAATCATGAGAGATTTTTATCATCATCCATCCAAAAGGATCAGATGATATAAATTTTCACCAACAAGGTTAAACTGGTAAATCTGGTTTACACCAACAGAAAGAGACAAATTTAGACAATCACAGGCACAAAGATGAATGCTGACTAACATTGATGGACAGATACAGTATACATCAACATGGACAAATAAAGAAAGGTGTTCATTAACACAGACAGAAACAGATTGGTGTTAATTTACATATGTTCACCAGTTAGTGAGAAAAAATCAACACAAAGTAACAAGCTTTTGTGTACAAACAGTATATTCAGTAACCCTCAATGAGAATAAGTTGATCAAGTAATAAAAAAAATAATGGTCACACATAGACAGTTATAGATAGATGTCTACCAGCATCAGACTTAAATCCTTTGTATACTATGAGATTTATAAATGCATAGAACATAATTGAAATGGTTAGGAATGTCAGATATAAAAGACAGTTTAGTGTAGGTACATTAAATTAATATATTTATTTTGTGTTTGTAATTCACCGATGTTGAGGCTATTGAATGTTTTGTTTGCAATCCATTGATGTCTATGGAGATTTCTAGAAGACCTAAGTTATAGATCTATAAATAGTGTTTAAGATACAACTATGATCTCCGTAGTGTAAAGAATTTTTGTACATACATTTAACTTGTTTCAAATATATATATTATTTCAAAAACAAGTGGAGTGCATGCTGTTCTTTTATTGTTGAAGTTATCACCAACAAGTCACAGACACCTACTGTAAAGAATCCTTAGCCCAACACTCCTATCTATTTACAATACTATATCTACTATTAAAAAGTAAGTTTATGACAATGAAAATCAAGTTTATGTTAACAAATACGTAGGTCCACACTAACATGGACAAAAATATATTTTGCAAATCAATGGATAGATAGGCCATGTACTTATTAACAGAAACACAAACAAGTTCAGTATACACCCACAGGGATGTACGCAGGTCCTCTGCAAATCAAGAGAAATACATAGATCCTCTGAACACAAACAGGAATGCACAAATCCTCTGTAAAAAAAATTATTGGAACACAAATGGTTTACCAATAGGAACAGATTGATCCTACTAGTACTGAGAAGATTATATACTAGTTGGAGAAAAAGATACTATACAGTTGGTACTATATAATTGGTGCAGTTGGTATGGTCGAAATTATACAGTTGATACTAAAAATATTACAAAGACAAGTGAAAATAATTTAATTAGTGTTTGTTTTAGAGTAAGATGTTAGAAATTAAACTATGTTCTAAATGAAACAACTGTATAGTCACTTTTTGCTCCACCATAGATATTTAGTGATTCTCAACCATCATATTATTTCTGCTTTTTTTAAGCAGTAAGCAGTTGTGTAAAACTGCTTGTTTTCTTCTGCTTCTTAATATTACAAAGATTTTATCTAACACATAATGGTCTGCTGCCAGGGAAAAAAAATACAATTCACAGCTGTATGTACTTCACTGAAAATTAACATTTTCCTTATCTGAAATATATTTCTGATAGATACTTACCTACTCACACAGAGTTAGCTATCTTCTTCATGCTACTGTCAAAGAGATTTGCATGCCACTAGCCTTGAGGCAACTCCCACCTAATTTCATATGAATTGCACTACTGCTGCATAATGACATTATCATGCAACAAAGCCCCTTCCACCAATAGGAGGAGGAGGACACCCCTCCATGCACAATAACTCCCCCTAAGCATTTGTACTCATGAAAACTTCATTTTTTCATAAGGAAGAAAATGTGCAACAGAAGTGGTGAGAATGGGTGGGAATGCGTGTGAACCTAAGTAGCTATTGAAATACATTTTCAGATAAGAAAAATGTTAACTTCTGAGACACCTCACCTCTTTACACAGATTTAGTTAGAATCCCATGTCAAATTGGTGGAGGGGCCAGTATACATTTAGCCTAGATAAGCTCCCTTTAGAAAGTGCCCATAGCAAGCTCATGGGGTGTGACACCTGATTGCAAGGGCTCCATTGGGACACACCCATGGGAGACTGCATCTTGTCTCATTCAAGGTATACTTTTCACCCATAAAGAAAAATAGGAAGAGGCAAGAAAGCAAAATTTGTGTTGCAGGGATGGACAGAATGGGAATGTGACCATCTGAGTACTTGTACACAAGTTGTTAGACAGCCAATAGGTGTAGTGTGGTTGGGATATGTTCAGGCCATACCTTGTGTGCACACCTCAACTCTACCATCAGACTCTACAGCTGTGGGAGGAGGACACATTTTTATGTATTACGGATACTTGTGCATGCCTCAACTTTACTGTAAGACTCTACAAAACAGACTCCAGCTGCAGGAAAAGGACACATTAGTGATACATCACAGTCTTGTATTGTGTGTGTGCTCACCTCAACTCTATCATCAGACTATGTAAGACAGACTTCAGCTGCAGGAGGAGGACACATTAGATATGTAATAAGTGTTTGTGTGCACACCTCCATTCTACTCTCAGACTTCAACTGCGGGAGGAAGGCATATTAGTGATACATCAAGATGTCATATAGTGTATGCATGCCTCAACCTTATTTTCAGACTATGGGACTAACTCCACCTGTGGGAGGAAGATAGTATAATAGTACGATAATGGAGTATGGACCAGTATAAAGTGTGTTCATCTCGACTTTACTTTACAGACATTGGCTGCAGGAGGAGGATATATCATATATGCATATATAATAGGTATTTGTAAGGTGACTGCTCAACATATTAGTAATTCTTTTATATCACGATGAGGATTTTCCATGGTTCATCATCCCAGCAGCTAAAAACTGGTCAATGGCAAGAATCTTCCATACTCCACTCAACAGGGGGTGGAGAGAGAATCTGCACTGGGGAGACCCGGAGAAAGTGCCTGGATTCCCATCAGTCCAGAAAGGTAATTTACTGGAGACAGTGCAATGGGTGACCTCAAAATCCTATATTTAAAAGCCAGCAAGTGAGAGCCAGAGAAGTAGGCAGAACACTTCCCTGGTACTGGCTTTTTCAATGATAGTCTATGGATTAGGTATGGTGTGAATCTGACAATTGAGTGAATATATATACACCACAAGGATATTTCAAGTGATCTTGCACAATATCCCATATCACAGTGAGCATAGATGGAGCTAGAGTGAATGGTATGAGCAATTTTCCATTATCCTAACTCAATGCAGATTTGGAGTAATTGTACCATGGGAGGCGACACCAGCCACCTGGTGGGATGCTATGAAATGAAAATTGGGCCTTGAAAAAGGAAGAGCACACATTCATCACATAGACAGTGGGGTGATTGGATAATGGCAGTCAGTGGAAGCAGAAACCATCAGGAGATACAACAGCCAGAAAGTGTTGAGAAGGAGATGAATGTGTGGAGAGTGGCCACATGCCTGTCTGGAGAAGCCTGTTCTAGGGCTGGAGAAGAAGATGCAAGAATATTAAAAAGGTGAAGAATCAAATGTGAAGAAATGCGAAAGAGTCTGCAATCATCCACATCCAAAATGTACATGTCAACTGGAGGAGTAAACAGACTCATCCAGTAATAGTAGAAGGAAAGAAGCCCCAGGTAAAAAAGGAGGACTTCCAGGGTATGAATAGACAAATGCAAGGATCCCAAAAAGGAGAGGTCCATGAAAAGACATACCAAACAGTCCAATACGAAACAAGAGCCAATCCAGGTAAGAATGGTCTGATAGGCCGAAGACAGAAGGAAGCGAGACAAGAGAGAGGTACCGTAAACCATCCGGGCAGATGAATTTTAAGGAAGGAAAGAAGGGACAGTCTAGGGAGGGTATATAAGTGCAGAGGAAGAGAGAGCAAGAAGCATCTATAGGATAGACATCCAAACAATAGTAATCACTGAGGAGATGAAACAAGACCGAAGAAAAAAGTGGTACAAAAGACAGGAAGGCAATGGCATGAATGGGGCATGCTTGAGATTGTGCAAAACCCCATTAAGGGTACAGTTCCAGCAAGGGAGTAGAGTGAGGAGGATGGAGGAGAACAAAGAAATGGAATAGAGTAGAGAGGACATGAAAAAACACATCTAGGTACCAGGAAATGAGAAGGTCTTTGGAAATCCAACAAACAACATTGGAGGAGGAGACTGACTAGCCATGGACAAACATTTAGGTAAAAAAGTCTGAAAGGTAGTTCACAGAATAAATATCAGAAGGATAAGAGGTAGTGGAAGGACCAATGGCTAAAGACCTGACACCAATGTTAAGAGACAAAGACAGTGGAAGGGTGAGAAGCAAGTGAAAAGATTAATGCCACATAAAAAAAAGCCCGGTTTGATGGGCAACAGAACAGGATGAGTCTCTGTGTGAGGGTGGAGGGAAGATATCCCCCAGTGAAGAAGATATGCATATGGGTGAAGCAAGAGAGAGGGAAAATTGGAGAGAGGAAGGGGGACCCGAGTGACAAGTGGACCAAGGCAGAACCAGTCAATGAGGACCATAAAAGAAAAAGCCAAGAGTAGAGAATGGTGGCAAGGTTATCCAAGAGGGGCATGTCCAACCAATAGTAGACTCCTCAAAAGACAAGAAGGTGTAGAGACCACTCTGTTGATTAATTGCATACTAGCTGAGAGAGGAGAACAGCAACCAAGACATAAGCAATCAGTAAATGACATGTAAGAAGACTAACCAGATGAGAATGGGCCCAGAAATTATGTAAAATGCCCAAAAATGAAAGGCCCTGTAATGGGAGCCTCATGGATGGATGAAGCAAAAAACAACAGTGGAACAGACTGAGTGGTACCTGACCAAGTGATCCATAAGTAGGAGCAGGAATTGGAAAGTGTCCGACGAACAGCAAGAAGGTTGGGCACAGTGATGTAGCGTGGACACCTGTCCAGCCATCCAAACAACAAAAGCCCTTCCCACATTTAGAAATATACCACAATCATGGAGGGAAGAATCAAAGAAGGTAGAAGTCTGGATGGAGAAGTGACTAGGGAATGCTGGAAGTAGTGCAATCATGGTTCAGTCACCCCAACAATTCATTGAGAAGGGATCACAAAAGGAGACACATGGAAGAAGTGGTTCCATAAAAGCCAAAGGTCCCCAAGTGCAAAAGAACCTCTTGCTCAGGTAGAGAAATAGAAGTGTAAAGCCAAGTGACCAAGCAGGCTATAGCTTGCAGGTGAAAAAGAGAAATCCAAACTCTGTTAGACAGGAAAGGAAGAAAATGCACAAAAGTACCAATGACGAACTTGGTAAGATAGCGAATATCATCACTTGTAAGAAAACATCATTTTAACGTACTCTTGGGTGTTTGCCTCCTCGAATTTCATTTTTTGTGAAAACTTTTGAAACGTGGTGATCACTAGAGGTTTGTGTTGCATGTGCTGCCTTCGGGATGGTTCAGAAACTAGTCACAGACATGCTCCAAGAATTCAAGTCTTCCAATTGACACATGCAATGCCAGATTTGAAAAATCCGATTAATACCTCTAAAGTTTCAGAATTGTTGAATATGAAAGAGTGGTCCACAAAAATGTGGTGGAATATGGATTGGGAACTCTCCAGATTTAAATCCCATGAAAAATGTCGGAGTTTTTGTTCAACAATGCACAGAAGAAATGTTGGAAACTTTGCCTGAATGCGAGAGACACTAACGTGAAACCTTGACTCGTGTTCTCACTGATGTGCTCAGAGAGAC